TTCATAATCATATCACACCCATATTCTGTTTCAAATTGGTTTTGTTGTCTACCCTACAATCAATGCAAGCTTCTGTACATAATGTATCTTGATGCATAGCATCAGAGTCCTATACAAGCATCGGAGTCCTGTACAAGCATCGGAGTCCTGTACAAGCATCGGAGTCCAGTACAAGCATCGGAGTCCTGTACAAGCATCGGAGTCCTGTACAAGCATCGGAGTCCTGTACAAGCATCGGAGTCCAGTACAAGCATCGGAGTCCTGTACAAGCATCGGAGTCCAGTACACAAACCAATCCATTTTTCAAAAGGCACTGACACTTAAAGTGTAGGATGACTATTCTACCATTGTTTAGACTAGCACACAAACCTGCCCAAACAGATAGATACACGCATATATGTTCATCTAACTACATACCATACCAAATAGAAGAGTTATACAAGGATTTCACACAATTGACAATATTGTAATGTAACAAAGCAAAAATATCACAAGTATCCATGGAACCAACAGGGGGCCATCTCCAAATGTTACACTTTTAATGTTTTCAAGTCTTTAGCATATGGTTATAAATAGACATATGCCTGGCTGATTGCAAAGTGAAGTTTCAAACATTAACAAACTGTGGTAAAACATGCAGAAATAAGACGAAAGAAATATTGAGATGGTCCCTATGGTCACATGGTATCATCACAGAGGATCATGACTTAAAGACATAATACATTGGCAGGGGTCATATACTAAACATGATACATGATTTCAATAACAAGGAAGTAAATCCAAATCCAAATGCAAGACAAATTCTTGAAATGGACTGTAAAAACAGTTTTGCCCATGACCATGGCAGGTTGAAGGTTAGATTGATACCTGGAAACACAAAATTCCTAAAGCATACAATTATCATTCATTGAATCTCCATCGTGATAAATAAACTGCATTAGAAAATTAAATACGACTGTGAAGGAAAATATGATTTGTTATAATTCATGCGAAGATACAAGTGGTAAGGTTATAGATATAAAGCAGTCTTTGTGACAATACATCAGAAACTGGACAACAACAATATTTCTCGGAAATTTATCAATTCTCAAGTTTCTAGATCAATGTGGATTTCAATAAATAAAGGGGAGTCTAGTCTGTCTCCCAGACCCAAGAGAATAAATAAAGAATCCAGGGAATCCAACTCTAGTCTAGATTATCTCAGCATTATTTGTCGGCTCCATTTGGATTTGATTTTATAGTTTGTGTAGATATTTTTAAATAAGATAACATTATTGCTAGGACTAAATTTTAGTCCAAGAGGAGTCCTTACTGGAGCAAAATTCTTCATTATGGCAGCCACCAACCATCTACCAGTGTCCTCTGTTTTAGACAGTAGTTGACCATGCCTCTGAATAGGACTACAGTTGCATCATGGGGAGTATACCGGTAAGCTTAATGTGAGAGGAACATTTCGAGTGACATGGTCGTTAACAAGTACCACCTTGGTAAAACTCCTGATCAGGGGTATGGTGCTGAAAAACCTGTGAGAATAATTGGGGCTAACCTGGGATTTGAACCACGAAAAACAGATTCTGGGACCGCTGAGGCTGAGATTGCAGGTCTTATACCACTTGGCCACCTGTGCCCTGTACCACGCCAGGAAAACCGAAAGAATAGAATACCTTGATTCATCAGACAATGGCTCTAGCTTCTTTGGTACATAGGTCCACCTGTGCTCTGTACCATGCTAGGAACCTGTGAAGATCCAGCTTAGAATTGGAAACTCATGCTTCTTGTAAGAGGCGACCAACGGGATCGGGTGGTCAGGCTAGCTGACAAGGTTGATTCATGTCATCATATCCCAATCGCGTAGATCGATGCTCATGAAGTCAATTGATGTAATGTCCGGGCCAGACTTAAACATTTACATTATTTGATTATTAACAAACTGCCGTCATATAGCTGGAATATTTCTGAGTGCAGCATTAAACGACAAACTTGCTAGGAATACTAAAAGAAAAGGATACCTTGATTCATCAGAGAATGTGGATATGAAATGTGGTCTCTGGGTCCTTTGGTATGTTTTGATATGTGTGTCTGGTTAGTACTTGCTTATCAATCAAGGTCCTAGTGTTAGGTGGTGACAGCAGGACTAAACAAAGGATGACATGAAACACACCCTATTATGTATGTTATACAGCAACACTTTCACCTAAACTTCTCTGTATTCCATCACAGTAACATTATGTACCATACAGCTTCATCTACCAGTATTCAGCCTGCCGGATATTGAATAAGTGCTCTACATGAATGAGTCAATGTTGTGTTGTTGTAGCTTATGTTCATATGTCTATCTTCTAGTGGGTCATACCTAAGGTTAAAGGTGATATGAGGTCAGGTCAGGTGAGGTCAAATGGGGTTTATTGTCATGTTCAAGATTATTTCACACGAAGAAAATGTAAAAAACTGTAACTTCCTGATTACTACTGCTACTAATGAATGAAAAACAAACTCATACTAGTCATAGGTTCCACCATGACAGAAGTACGAACGCAAAATGATACCCAAAAAATAATTAATTGGTTTTTTTGTTAGAATAAAGATTGTACATGTACTATTTACCATTTTTTACGACCAGCTGTGATAAAAACTTGTGTTAATTTTCATTACACCAAACTGTAAAATTGGCGACCCCACCAAACACCAAAAACATCGTTAAAAGTTTTCTAATTTCAAGGTTTTTTGTCTGTTGGTCTTGTAAACCAACTAAAATGAATTTAAGGCCTTATATAGCAAAATGCATGCACGTGTGTGTGTGGCTTGTTTTGCTCGTCTGGCTTAGATTCATTGTGGTTGGAATTTTGCGGTCCAAAAACTTCCCACATAGCAGGGTCATTAATTCATACTGTGGAATATTTTTCTCCCTATAAAAAAGAACTGTTTTTGAAAATACTTAAGAGTCCGAGAGACTTCTGATGACAAGATAAAGAAATCCTAACTCATAAAATATGTAGCTCCAAAAATATAGACTAAAAAAAGACAAAAAGAATTTGTCTACCCATCATAAAGATGTTGCAAAACAATTGCATTCAAGAACCAGTCTAAATGAAATTGGCTTTATCGCGGAATCAGTACATTTGTTACCGTCTTCTAATGGAATGAAACAACACTATGCAGAGCTTGGCAGAATCTGTAGACAGAGACGTGAGGCCTATGTCAGCTTTGTTGATTTTTTTCAGTGTTGAATGAAACAAACTCTTCAGGTAAAAATTGTTTTTGAAAATTGAGAGGTGCGACAAATATTATTCTGAAAGATCTAATCTTACAGAGAAATGGGGGCGGTACAGACGGCAGTACCAGTAATTTTCAAGCATCATTTGGTTTGTCTGTGAGCTCAAATGTTACGATGATTTTCAGCCTTAGAGATTCTTATCACCAAAGTTACACAGACAACAAGTTTCAGTAAGGGGCACTAACTGCAATGTCTAGACCTGGTTACAAATGGGATGCAGATAGTAGACGCTGTTTGTTGCACGTATCTACCTCAGTGAAATCAGAAACTCAGTCTCATTAAGATCAGATCTTAGTCCTTGCTGAATAAAGATCTGAGGACATCCCATTAGGGTCACGTCAGAACAACCTTTCATTCGACCAATCAAAGCGTCGTTTACCAGATCATGAAAGTGACAGTCTGAATGTGTTTTCTAATCATGCAACCTCGAAAACGTTAACACGGGGTATTCCAAACAACAGTTACGGCCTGTATGACTGATACCGTCAAAATCATCGTCTATCTCTCGCTTCCTTGAGATTAACATTTGAACGGAAGAGGCGAAGCACTGCCATACAATCTCAACCATATATTAGACATTTAGGAATGTATGTTTGTTCAGTTTTCAAAATTTTAATTGAGAACTGTGTCAACATATTTTTCAAGCGTAGTCTGAAATGGAAGTCGCCAGGTTGAAACGAGTGTTGTAAAACTCGAGAAAGTTGCTTTCTAAGTGGCTGATGTCGACTTCTTGTCAGTAATTTCAGTGGTCGGTCAAAGTTCGCGAAAGGACGTTCTGACGTGGCCCGTAATGGGATGTCCTCAGATCTTTGTTTAGCGGCAGCGAGAACTAAGATCTGATTTTAATTGGATTCCTCAGAAACTATGACTTGAACTGACACCAAGTTCAACCAGCCAGAAGAATGCATGTGATATTTTCATAATAAATAGATATATTCACAATTGACCACTACCCAATAGAATCACCAACGAAGTCCTATAACAAATACATGTAATAAGAAATGTGTGCACACCCACTACACAAGCCTGTCCCCTGAGATTGACAATTACCATATTGTGCATGTTTATCGAAGACATGATTTTTACAAAAGCACAATATTGTATGAAAGTAAAAAACCTTGTCATCCCACGCATATATCTGACACAGACATCAATTGCTTCAATATGTCAATACTCAACGATATGAATGATTTCATCATTGTTGATGCTTAAGGAATACCAGTGTTCATACTTCTACAAACAATATCAGAGTCAATTCCCCTCCAAACAAACTATCACTGTTCCTGATCTTGAGTGGAATGTGAAAAAAGCACTTGTGGGGTTGTAAAATCTCTTTAGTCTAACTATTAAGAGTTCATGTCTTCTCTGAGAGGCATTTAGAAGTTGGAGTACTAAGTAAGGAGAAGATATAAGGATGAACAACTTCTTTATTACAATGTGGAGCGTTTTGGTGTAGTGTGAGTGAGTTGGGTTTAACGCCGCTTTTAACAGTACTCTAGTTATATCAAGGCGTGTCAACTTAATGTGGGAGGAAAGCCCGAAGTGATGCAGGTCTCAGACGTTTACCACTTTGGTGAAACCCACGAGCACGGGTATGGTGCTGACAAACCTAGAAACATAATTGGGGAGAACCGGGATTCGAACCCACAATCATAGGTTACTGGCATGCCCAAGGGACACAACTCTGCAAAGCGAATTGCGGCACCTTAGACGACTGGGCCACCCATGTCCCCTCATTTCGGTGTAAGTTCTAACACTGTTATCAACTTACTTGATAACAGTGTTAGAACCTACCTCGAAACGTTGCTCCATATTGTAATAAAGAAACTATTCATCCATATATCTTAACCTTGTTCAGTTTATGTGTTGATCTACACTTGTTCTGGAGGCCAACAACTTCATGTTATTGGGCTTAGAAACATTATGATCAACTTAATAATTACAGGGCTCCGGATAAATATTTTAGGTCTTGAGTATTTACTCTCAGGTACTGAGTGAGTGAGTATGGTTTTATGCCGCTTTTAGCAATATTCCAGCAATATCATGGCGGACTCTCAGGTACTATTCACAGTGAGTTTTGATAGTTCCTTTGGGTACTTGGGTACAGAGGGGCCAGTCTACAGGGTATTATAAAACCAACGAGAAGACATTTGAAAAAAATATTTTTTGCATGCAGGTGACATTTAATTTTGATCTGTTGGTGTGCTGCCTCAAGTGCTACAGGCTGCATAATCTCGCAACAGCAACCTACATGTCTCATCAACTGCCTTTTGCATGCATTATTCTCATGATTGTCCTTGGAGGATACAGTGGAGTTGACGTACGTGTGACTCCTGCATTCAATCAGAAACTAGAGATTGGTTAAACTATTGGATTTTGATTATTTTCATGTATACTTGTAAGCAAGCAACTAAATGAATTGGGTAATGGTGACTTACGCAATACATAGTTGATCTGGAGCCCTGTAATGGCATAACTTATCAGTTCTAGCTGAACATGTCGGTTAACTTTAAGTTACAAATGTACATTTATTACAAATTTGTAAGGGTAAATACTAAGCACTGGACTAGGGTCTTGGTTTCTGCATCAGGATTTGACTATTGGAGCCTGAGTGCTGTGTTTGCACCTGTCACTGCAAGCTACAACACAGATTACACTTCAGCACAGCACAGCACTCATTCAGTGACATGGGTGCAGAAACTGCTCGTGTGATTTATTCGAAAGTTTAAATAACGAGGGTGCAACCATTTGATTTTGGTTTGAGATCAGTATTTATTTTTCATGTTTGGGAGCTCAATTACTTTTCCCAACAGAAACAGGTGCTCATTTTGTTTTGTTTCTTTAAATAAATAAAAATAACGAAATGACTTGCCTACAAAATGAGGCATGAGTATCCCCCCCTCCCCCCCAAAAAGAAGAGAATCAACAACAGGGGCTTGATGCCCCACACACCCAAAATCAAATGGTTGCTCCCTAATGTGGTTCACTGGTGCAGTCATAAAATGGCCTACAAAATGGAAGAAGGTGATGGATCTAGACTGACATTACCCTGCATCATTCCACTAGTATAGCCACCAGGAAGTAATATTACACCACTAAGAGTAGTCTCCCTTGAGCCTAGGTTTTCAATAAAGCATATATATACTGTATTAGTTCCAGTAGAGAGAAGAGCCTGTCTCACATTGATTCTCAAATGGCTTACTATTTCAAATGATCATTATGCATGAAATTTATCCACTACTACCACACTGATTATCAAATTAATCATATCTATTGCACCATTTACCACGGAGAAGCACCATGGGGCCCCGTTCCACAACATGATTGTGATGTATCGTAAAGATTTAACAAAGACTAACGACAGTCGAAGCGCTAAGATCACTTTGTGAAACTGGAATAAACCAGAGCAAAAATCCTATGACTTATAGTTAGGAATTCTTGGGATATGTTTGAAACATGTTTTAGTAAAATGAAGAGCAAATCCATAACAGATGTTTTGCAACTTTGTCAAAAATGAAATGAAATTATGACAGATGGCTCCAAAAATAACTTTTCACTTTCATAACACAGACTGAAAGAGCCACACACACTTAGTGATGGTGTCCTTGATGAACCACAGATATAGCGCTTAAAGGAAGTTAAGGAACACCCATATTTTCATACGAGGATATATCATGGCATGACAAATTACCTATAGTTATATGAAAATATTGGGTGTTGTTTCATTTTTTTAGTAGTATTTCAAAAGTTGTGTTTAATATACAAAATACTGTCCTTGAAACCGTTGAAACCAAAATTATTTCAAATCTAATATATGTCTGTAGTTTTGTAGTCACCTCAACCATCTTGGCATAAACAAAAACAACATCAAACAAGACAAACAATTGACCTGGCCTCTTTGATAATCATGAACGAAATCATTAATGATGGGAGCTCAGCGAATATAATTCATATTGTTCTAAGTCTTACCACTGCCAGTGAAGCTGTTTATAATTTGAAGGAAAATAACTTTGATCATATAGACAGTAACTCACACATACTGACATAATGAACATGGTATTGTTATTGTTAGGATTTGGAGGTTACGATATTGTCTGCTTGTCTATCGCCAACAACATTTGAATGAGCCTGACACGTCTGATGAATTATGTTTGTTTGTAGGTCAGAATGAGACAGAGTTAAGGATGAAGAGTCTGTCCTCCTCCCTCTTGATCCAGCGTAGCAGCTTGTTAACAGCGTGTATCGCCCCCGTCTTCGTCACCAGCGGACCAAACACAGCATAAAGCTCAAACCCTTGTGTCACCTGTCAGAAAGAGACGATACATCATAGGGGTGTCACAATAAATCTAAATATCGATATATTGCTATTGGCAAGCACTTAAGGTCAATAAATCGATTGTTAAATCAGTTTCTGATCAATAGTATCGACTTCAGTTAGGGATACCGATAGTTTCAATTGTATTTACCATATCATGCGATTGAGTCACCGAAACATGCTCGCAAATGCAGCCGAGTGAGGATTAGAGTTAACTGCCCTTGATGCTTAGCAACTGGTCTTTCCTAAAGTAAAATGGCGGTGGGTGACAGTCAAGTGGAGTTTGTGACAAACTTGGGTGGAAAATCGAGTGTTTGGAAGTCTTTTGGCTATGTTAAAGAAAATATAATCCATCTAAAATGATACACTGAAAACTATCAATATTTATCACAATAGTTGCTTGCAATATCAATAGTTATCGCAATAGTTTCTTTCAATATCAATAGTTATCGCAATAGTGATTTCCAGACCAATAGTCACCCCTAATACATCCAAAACATGTCGTCACTGAAGAATTACCTTTCCCTACAAAATTACGGGTCCAGGTCCCCCAATAATTCACCTCAAGGGTCCTGACAGGAAATAGGAGGGTCCTGTTAAGTCAGGAGTGTACTGCACTGTACTGTAAGATTTGATAATTACTTTAATTACAGATCTAACATTTCTTTTCAATAAATGGGTGCAATGAATACTATTGTGCATCCCTTGGCGATGTATATTTTTCCCGCATCTATTCTCTACATTTGTACATTCTGAACCCACATTTTCAGAACACAAATATACCTGTGATAGTACCTCCTTTTGGTGTACCATATTCGACGTAATAAACGCCCAGGGTGCTCTCAAAATTACAAATAGGGGGCTCTTATTAGAATATAATTTTGGTGAGAGTTGAAAGATCGTAAATTTTGTGGCTTATGCTGACAGACTGAAATGATACAAAAGAAAAGTCTGTATGTATTATACACGCAATTGGGATTGTTCACTAGACAATATATTAGCAAGTATCGCCGTGGACGCTTATTAGAGCGGGGCGCTTATTACGTCAAATACGGTATATGCCATGACACTCAGAACAACAGGATATATAAAATATCCACAACATAACCAGGGATAGAAATTGGCACTAGTCCTGTAGTCCTTGCCAAACTGCCTAATAGTTAAGATATAGAAATATGCTCTTTTTAAGGGTTTTGCTATATGTTATCATTATAAGGACTAGTGGTTTAAAACTGTTAGTTTTTGGAGACACAGAAATCAGATATGCTTGTCTGAATGCTTCAATCACTTGCATCGAGAACTTAGCATTTGTTGAGAGATCTTGACTCTGATTGACTGATTAGACACTTTATGTGAGGCAACCTTCTATGTACATGATGTAGTTGTCTCAGATTTTTAAGCAGAAAGATATCATATGGGACAAAAAGATGTGAGTTTGATGAGATGGAATGAAACTCCAAAGGCACCAATGGTCATGTTATTATCATTAATTGAACCTGTGCCTTGAAATGAACAAAAATGCCTACCCATCCTAGCAACGTTTCATATCTGCCAACATGGAAGAGTATTTTTAGTGGGCGGCCTGATGTGTGTATTCGATGATGGAGGTACTGGTATAGACCAAACAAACGCTCCTGCTCTGATTGGTTGAGATACGGTGCCTCTAGCTCAGGACTCGTGTATTGTGCCGTGCTGCGGGACTTGTACAGGAAGTGACGTAAGTCATGGATGCCACACTGCTGTATGCTGTAGCTAGTCTTGCGGAGAGAGTCGCCTATTGCACGTAGAGCGTTATATTTTAGTAATCTCTGAAAAAAAAATTAAATAACATTTCACAATTGAGCCACATGAGTCACTGTGTGACATTAAGAGATTGCTCAATTAAAGAATTTATATCAGCAAGATCTAGGATAAAACGCCGATAAATGTCAGATTCTGTCAGGTGAGGTAAAATGGGGTTTAACGTTGCGACGAAGATTATTGCACTGTATATAGTGTTGTGCATGCACGTGTGTGTGGCTGCTTGTACTAGTCCGGACTGATGCGAATCTTATAGTGCTAGCTCACTGAGCACTATGCCTCAGTTTAACATGAATACCCCACTCAGACACAGTATACTGACTCCGTGCTGAAAAGTTCTTGTTTTAGCCCTGTAATGCCAAGCACCGGGCAGGGTAACAACATGTACCATCTTTTAACGTCTTTTGGTATGACGTGGACAGGGATTGAACCCCAGACCTTCCGCTCTCTGGTCGGGCAATCTACCACTAGACCATGGAGGCGGTCCAGATTGTGTCACACCTGTAACATGATATTGAACCATGTCCACAAAAATAATCAATGGTAAAGAAATTTGAAATTGGATAAACATCAGCATAGCAATGATAAATAACACTGAACCACAATGATCAGTAAAGCTACACTTTGTTTGTTTTTTAAATGGTTTATGGATCCGCCGAGCTTAAATTTTGTTGAAATAGTCAAAAAACAATTCAGAATTTGATAAAAAAAATTATCCTGCCAATAAGCTGATAGCATATTGCACCAAAAAATTTATCTAAAGAAGGACGAACTGAAGTTGACATATATTAAACATGGAAACGAAAATAAGGTTTGCTGTTGTTCCTAAAATAGATACAAGCATCAATGCACAACAGTCTTCCCGCTTCATTCATCCAGTTTGCATGGCTTAAGCAACAGCTGTGGTGCGAGCTCTCCTCACACATTAAACTATTTTTATTTTTTTATGCCAGCTAATCTGTAGTGGAGCAGAAAACACAACAAAACAAAACAAAAAATTGAATTGCATTCTTCCCCCACACCTACTGACAGGTATTTTCCTGTAAAAATTCCATGAAGAAAGTTTAAAAAAGAGTGTGCTAAAGGATAGTATTAAACATGGCACATTGTCCTGAAGGTTGAAGAAATCACAGAGGAAACATGAACTCCACAATAACAAAACATGCTTCATCACTTGATGATATTACTTCATCATGATGTCACAGGAAAATATATGTCATACATGTCAAGACCTGGCACATGGCAATGGAGTTGTACACTTCTACAACACTGATCATTGTTTATAATGTTAATATCATTATGGTAATCTTATCAATTGTATGTTTCAAAAGAGTCGTCACATCGTCTGTATTGTCAGATGCCTGTATTGGTAGTTAGAATCTAATAAGATATTTGTGCCCTATGGAAAGTTGCAGCCATCAGCAGTGAGCCCTACCTCCTTGATCTTATTCTTGCATTCTGAGAGAGTGAAGAAGCTGTCTCGATCCACGGACAGCAGCAGCATACATGTCTGACTGTTGTCGTCAAGGTAAGACACATGGGCTTGTAAAAATCCACTGAAACACAGTATTATTACAAGAATGTACATTGTCCATGTTGTCTATAGACATAGTCATGATAATTGATCACTTCATCTTCACAACATGTCTGAAAATCACACCATGCACACTAAACCTTTCATTTCAACCATTCATTTCACTTAAATATTTTACTATAATCTATCTTTTCTTCACATATAGGGTCTAACGTTAGCTCTAGGTACAAACAGAACATCTTCTACTGTAGTAATCAAACTTGACGACAATGTGGTTAAAATATTCGTGAAGATTGTTTGACCCATTTTTTCAATCAAGGAAATAGTTGCCACCCAAAATATCTTGACTACCAGTTGTCGGACTTTCATTTTTGTGGAAGCCTAGGTGGCTAAGTGGGTCGGATATCTGACTTTGCGTGCTGGCGATAAGGTGCCTCAGTCTGGCAGTGTGGGTTCGAATCCCAGATGGGACTCAACCCAAAAAGTCTGAGAATCTGAACTTTACTAAGAAAGTGTTATCCCAAATATATAACATTTGTTACATTTGACCACTTTCTAAATGGCATTTGTATTCCAAACGTCCTTTTACAAATCATATGGCACGGACTATCTGGACTCCATATACAATAAAGCACAACGTTGCTCCCACATTGTCCTTTTACAAATCATCTGGCACGGACTATCTGGACTCCATATACAATAAAGCACAACGTTGCTCCCACAATGTCCTTTTACAAATCATATGGCACGGACTATCTGGACTCCATACAAGGCTTGGCGCTGCCCCAGAAATTAATTCTATAAATGGACATTGTTGCCACACAAAATTTCCTTTAACAAACACATGGCAAGGACTCCCCTGACTCCCTGTGATGGCTGACTAGAGTTACCTGTTATCAAACTTAGGGAGACAAATGGGAGTCCAGGACTCGGCAGCTTTGAAAGACTCGGAGGCATTGACGAGGTTGATGATAAGATGTAGGTCCATGGGATGGAGGTAGTATTTCTTCATTCTCACTAATGTTACCAGCTGATTGTTAGCAATGATCAGTGCGAACACTAGATCCTGAAACAGAGGTGAGGTGAAATGGGGTTTAATGTCATGTTCAAGATTATTGTACTTATATGTGTGTGGCTCCTTGTACTAGTCGAGACTCTTGTCGATTTCATAGTGCTAGCCCACTGAGATACAATGCTGCAGTTTAACATGAATACCCCACTCTGACACAGTATACTGACTCCAGGTCTTGTTTTAGCCTCTTTATGCCGTGCGCCAGGCAGGGTAACAAGTACCATCTTAAACGTCTTTTAGTATGACATGGCCGGAATCGAACTCAGAACCTTCCGCTCTCCAGACGGATGCTCTACCATGACCATGGTATTTGCACAACATGTCCTCTTCTTGAACACATGTGTCTGTGTTGTTTAATGTCAGCACTCTTCACAATCTCATTAAAATCAGATGTAAGTTCTCGCTGCCACTACACCAAAATCTGAGGACATCCCATTACGGCTCACATCAGAACGACCTTTCGCGAACTTTGACCGACCACTGAAATGACTAACAAGAAGTCGACAGCAGCCATTTAGAAAGCAACTTTTTCAAGCTTTACGGCACTCGTTTCAACCTGGCGACTTCCATTTCAGACTACGCTTGAAAGATATGCTGACACAGTTCTCGATTAAAAGTTTGAAAACTGAACAAGCAAACATTCCGGGATGGCTCATATATGGTTGAGATTGTATGGCAGTGCTTCCCACGTACTGAGCAACGCCTCCTCCGTTCAAATGATTATCCCATGGAAGCGAGAGATAGACGATAATTTCAACGGAATCAGTCGTACGGGCCGCAACTGTCATTCGGAATACCCTGTGTTAACATTTTCGAGGTTGCATGATCAGAAAACACAATCCAACTGTCTTTTTCATGATCTGGTAAGCGACGCTTTGATTGGTCGGATGAAAGGTCGTTCTGACGTGACCTGTAATGGGATGTCCTCAGATCTTTGTTTAGCGATAGTGAGAACTAAGATCTGATTTTAATGAGATTGCACTCTTCAAGCTGTCATGGCTGCATCACATCGGCCCTTAAATGGTCAAAATGGGGTCAGCAAACCAATGGTTGATATCATGCACAACATCCACAACAGTCAAGGTACAGTGAAGCACGATCAGAGCCTGACCACCCGATCCCCATTTTGTTACCCCTAACAACAGGTACTATTCAGACTATATATCGCACAGGGTACTCCTTCATTACAAGAAATATGTGCAAATTTGATTCTAAGCATTTAATACTCACTCCATGTTGTCTGGAAACTCAAACGTAATGATTTACTTCAATGGGCGATCTTTTTGTTCCAAAGGGCAATAACTCTCCTTTTGAAATGATATAAGCGACGGTCCAACCTGTCGCTTCCGGTCTGGTTCCCGGATCAATGCGCGCTGCGACAACGACTGACATGTAGAGACGGAGCCAAGCTAAAGAGTTATCCTGTTGCACCTTCGTTCAAAAACGGTTGTTTACAACTGAATATTTTTAACTAGCACATATTTTGTAGTGATTATTAGTTTATATTATCAACATTTGTTGAGTCTTCAACTACAAGACGAATTGTCACTTTGGAATATAGCGGGGAAAACGTCATAAAAAAGGGTATATTGTCACGGTATTTTCTACGTCAGAAAACAGCGAGGCATTCTGTCAGTCTGGGCTAACATATTGCATCGATGAAATAATGCAAACTCATTTTATTTATCAGCCTTTGTGTTATTTCCTACTACAATTCATGCATTCAAATCTCAACAAATACTACCACAGACTTCAATTTAATAAAATTAGTGATACGCCAACATTTGCAGCACACAGACATCTTTGACAGGCCTTTACCAATATTTTAAGAAGAAATAACGTTCAAAATAATAAAACAACTGATTTTAAATGTTACTTTTTATATCAAAGTTAAAGTTGCATATGAATATTTAAATTTATATTATTTTTGTAGAAATAGGCCTAATGAACATCTACCATGCATCTATTAAGCACTCAGTTACTCAGTTGCAATATTCATACTAGTCATCATACTTTGAAATAAGAGATTTACCCATATTATTCTGCCCCTTATAACATGTGTCAATTACAGAGATGTGTCCCAACAAACAACAAATCATACTGACTACCCCACAAAATGTGTATGATGCATAAATAGATCTAAATCAAAGTTTTATCTTCTTGTTTTAGTAACATTATATTTTTTTTAATGTTGACAAATTTCCCATACAAACCCACACACTATCCTGAGGTATCTAAGTATCCTGATTTTCATTCAACAGTACTTCAAGACACCTGTAGTTTAAAGTATATTTTGTAGTTATTATTATCATATAGCAAATATGAATTTTATATGAAAATATGAATATGAAAGTTTATCATCAAATCTTCTGATGGTTAAATAAATGGAAATTGAACCCCACAGTCATTCCATGTAGATAAATGGATTTATTTATGTTATTTGTTTTTTCATACAACAGATTATACTTACATATGTTACAGTCAGTGTCTATAATCAGGCCCAATATGTATTTTGACTGAACATTTCAGTCAATATGCATATTGACTGATTCACTCAGGTAAGGTATTTTTTTGTCTTAAATTTTCATTCATTTATTATTGACTAAAAATAGGACCGGAGTTTAGACAGACTGGCTGAAATGTATAGACTGCATTATTTAATCTTCTCAAATTAATTTGGATCTAGTTTGATCTTGTAAGAAATTAAAAATGTTTTCACAATGAATTGATTTATTCTCCAAACCTGAAAGAATACCAGAGTCCCAATACTAGTACACATGCACAAGTGTGCCAAGATATTAAATAAAATAATAAGAGTCATTGTGCAATGCAGATATATTTTGGTGTGAAGAGAAAAAAGAAAAACATTAATAATTTGTTTATGTTGGAATTTGAAACATCAGTTTAGAACAAGGACACATAAAAAGCAAGGCCTAATGAAGTTAAGAATCAGCTTTATCTGTGTCACAATCATATGTTTATTGTCAATGCAAACTGGATGTAGACACTGCATTGTTAATACAATCAACATTATAGAGATTGGCAATTAGTACGAATATATTGTTTTATTTTATAAAAATTGTAGTTGGTACAAATACTCTTGAATATGTATTTTAACTAATTTATAGGGTCCCCTGTGTCTGAATTGGGTTTTTTCTGCTTTGTAAAATTAAAAAAAGGCCAAAATAATATAAATCTTTCATTGATCATATTGAAATATAATCATGGTAGTATTTGGCAACAAACAGCTACCATTCATATACATATAATCATTGTATACAACATCCACCAATTAACCCTTAAAATATCAAAACAGATTTCAGTGATTTCTATTTCTTTTATTTTGAAGATTGTATCATGATATCTAGTTGATGACGTAATTTTACAGTGCCTGTTACTCTTACAATTTCTTGAGAACATTTCTCATTGCTCTCAGTTATATATCTGACAAATACTTACATGTGTTGCTGTCAATATTCACAACATTGAGCATACGGGCAACGTTGCATGAGACCTTCACATTTCGCGTAACGTATCGCCTCACAGTTTTACATACTGAAATGCATGCATATGATGTAGCCTGCTCGGCGATGCTACAACATAGATATAGGAACGTATACAAAATCTACTTAATTTTCATAATCATACATCAAGGGCAACACTTTCAGTGCAAAACGTCAACAAAGCGACCTGGGATGAACGATCAGCTGATTTCACCGCATCGCTTCGAACGCCTTTCTAGTGGTTAACTATACAATATAATCAGTCGTGGTCATCCCTGATGTATAATTATATCAAGGAACATTTATTTCCGGACATGGCAATAGATAAATAATTGTTTAGGCGAAAAGATATACTGTCCGCACACAAGTGTGACCGTTGCCGACAGAGGTGAAGGTTGTACTAGTTAACTGTCTATAGGCGTCATAGTAACATGTAGTGATCGTATCGCGCATACCACATGCGCCGTCAGTTTAAGGTTGGACCGTCCGGGTCAGCGCAACTAGCGGGTTAGTGAAGGGAAGATAAATTGAAAAAGATCGCCCATTGAACAGTGGAAGGCTTCCTCTACATCTCCAGCATGTCCAGGGTTTGTATTTCGATAAACCTACACTAACCCCGGGATCCGTTCCCATGGTTCTCGCAATACAAATTAAACATCTTTGATTTTTATTAACATCTTACCGACCAATCAGATTTTGAAATAGAGAAAAGGAAATGGGTAAGGGAGGTAACTGGTATTGCCTTGAAACAACTGAGAAATCACCAAGACCTCACTCTCAGAATCCCTCTCGTCCCATATCACAGGGATTGCATGGTAGCAAAAGGACTTGCCAGTCAGCTGTAAAGGACATGAAGACATCCTCTCCATCAAAAAGATTTGGAGGGCTTTCTTTTGTGTGTCAGTCAGGTTTTCAATGTTGAATTTATGGCAAACTCTATCATAATCAAGAGGACTGGCCGCCATGTTATTGATATCATCAACCCCACATTGAGGCTGGTTTGTAACTCGCATTCTGATTGGACCGTTGACTAAGTGGCGTAGCAAATAAAAAAGCTAATAAAAATCAAAGGTGGGTAATTTGCGATGGGAATGGATCCAAGGGTTGATGAAGGTTTACCGAAATGAAAGTCCTGGAAATGTAGAGGATGAGTTGAAGGTAATCTTTGTTACACAAAGACAATGTGGCAGTTGACACAAGTGACAACCTATGTCGACCCAGAACCAACAACAGGCACCATGTCACACCATACAACGATCATGTAGCACAATTCTCCGAAAGTGTACTCACCTTGACTTTTGCATGTTGCACTATACTTTGAGCAATTATTTCCCTAACTGAACTATCCAGGGGTAAGCATCGCACAGCCCCTAGTAAGAAGCCATACTCAGTGTCTATTAAGTTCAACAAATTGTCAAAAAATTTCTCAGCACCACTTAAAAGTCTTCGGAGATCGTAATTTCTCCGCTGTTTGAATATTTTGGAGAGTGTGCTGTAGGTGAGCACGCTGAGCACTTGGTTGTAAACGTACGATAGCTGCAACAACATCTGCTGGGTAGAGTCCGTTCCTCGCGTCACGCCAACCATCAACAGGTGGTCTCGGACCAAAAACACAAACTTGTGGTCCCCGGAGATCATGCAGCGTATCTGGTCCTTGTTGTCCTGCACGAAGGACACTAATGCCTGCATCACTCCCATGATGGTCACCAGCTTGTCTTCACTGCCATACCTGGAGGCAAGCAACACAGAGCATCCATCAGCAATCACAATGGCTGCCTCCCCGTTGTCCTGTGACCAGTAATTTCTCAAGCCCCCTCTCTGAGTCTAGTAAAATATTTTGAGTATGTGAGTATGTGAGTATGTGTTACCGACCCTTCCAAAAATATCACCGCTAGGGACACCAGGAATAGGCTTCATACATTGTACCAATGTGGGGAATCAAACCAGGGCATTCGACGTGATGAGCGAACAATTTAACCACTAGGCTACCCCAACGCCCCAAAATATTTAGAAGTTTAGATTAACGACAGATCAAAGAAACTTATCTCACTACTATTTATTTCTATCAGCCCCATTAATCATTTTAACTATACTACAAAACAAAATGAGTCATGTTATGACAGATTAACTTTAGTAATATAAAAGAATCAGGTTACCCTTAACTTTTTTTCACATATAACTGCACAATTAACAACATAGTTAACATGATTAATTGAATAAATTGTTACTGTAAATTTAGCCTTCATTCATTTAGTTTCACTTTGTGATGAGAAGTATTTGCAAATTGCACAAATAACTACAAACCTTAAACATGTTAAATACTTTGTCAATCGGTCACACAACAGGGTATTGCCATGAAGAAGACCTTTGGGTTTTCTGGTAAAATTCCTTTAATGTTTTGTTTGTTGTTTAACACTGCACTCAGCAATATTCCAGATATATGATGGCGGTTTATATAATCGAGTCTGGACCAGACAATCTAGTGATTGACATCATGCACATTGATCAACACAATGTGATGACATGCATCAACCAAGTCAATAAGCCTGACCATCCAATCCTGTCAGTCACCTCTTACCACAAGCATGGGTTGCTGAAGACCAATTCTAAATGGGCATCTCCATGGGATTCTGTATGTTGTGTAAGTAGTATTGTTTTAAGAGATAAAAAAAAAAGTGGTTGCTCTGGCTAGATCATGTGCATAGATGGGGAAACCTACAATGTCAGTAGTCACATGTTCTTTGTGATTCTCATGACATTACTGGCAGCTACATCAGTACCTGAAGGTCAAAGTTTTAAGTTGTGCCAAATATCATGAATATCACAATACACAACAAAACATAAGGATATTCGTATTGTGCTAAAGGACATACCAAATACTAACTGCATTTCAGAATTTCATAAAAATAACCCCCAAAAAGGTTTGAGTTATGGGCAAAATTACAACTTCAAAATAGCTGTCTTCGCGACCATGTTTAAAATCAGAACTCGAGTATCGGAGCACTTTTAGCATGTTTATAATTGCTGTGATCATGTACGTTAAATTTCACCTTCAAATTCCTAAAGTCCACAGCATGGCGAAAAAACAAAGAACCCCAAAAGGTATTATGTTTTTCAGCAGACCAAATACTTACTGCATACACAGTTTTTCAGAAAGCTATCTTTCAAACAGTACTTGGCCAGTAGAAATGGTAAAATACTATTCTTTTCGCAAATACAATTTGAAAATATTTGATGATTTGATTGATTACAAACCAAAACTACTGCATGGCGAGTACAGTTTTCACTTAAATTGACTGTAAACATAAACAGTATTTAGCATTTACTAAAAGACTAATATCATGTGAATCTCATTTGAAATTCTCCATAACGCACCTGGAATAGACTGGCTTTCCTGACTCGCTGAGTATAAAGATGTGTTTCCTCTGGTGTTTCCAGTGCAAGCTGTTGACGTCATCCTGGTCCAGTTCTTCCACCTGGTCTTCTTCAGCCGCCACTTTCCCTTCCACACTCAGCTTGTCCACTGCATTGGATAAATCTTTGGTCTGCAAAGAATAGAATTATTCTGACTAGGTGCTCAGAAGTTATGGTGAAGTGAGATGAAATGGGGTTTAACAGCGCAGTTAAATCTACATGTAGCCTAGCTCTACATTGAAAACACAGTATGTTTATCTCCATTCTACCATGACTAAATTAACCGTGAATTCTTTGCTGTGAGAAAATATATTGGGTGAAGTAACATAGGTTGAGTCTCGTGTTTAGAGTGGGTTCTCGATCATATGGAATCACCGACAAAAGCCTTTAAACAAAATATGGTGCTCTATATGTTCAAGCAGTTTGTTTACACCACAATACTTCACACAAACTTGTGACAGCAACTTCATAAGCTCACATGTGGTGGGCACCCCTTAAGAAAACAAAGCAAGCCTTGCACATCACTATTATGATGCCATATCGCTCATTGTGATGCAAAAGATATGACGTCACAGTTGTGTAAAAAAAAGCACCAAATAGCAAGCTATCTTTCATCCTCAAAGCTCGAAATACATACTCTTTGCAGATTTCTATCGCGTTTTCTGCATGAAAATATTGCCACACATCTTTTTAATATATCATAGTTACCTCAACTTTCCATTTTGTGGAATATAATTGTACCTATAATAACTTAAATATGCCTACCGACGATGACTGTAAATGAAGTACTATTCTAAAAATATTAGCTTCTGCTTATGCGGCCATCAAATCAGCTGTTTCAATCAGAGGGGGTCTATTGTCATTTGATACCTCTGATTGGCCAATCAAAAATCGAGTATATAACACATTCATGGTAGATTACATTTATTTGCATCTAAAAAAAATCATTACACTGTGATGTGTCCATGGTAATGCTTAGGAAACACAACCTTACATCACATATAATGATATAAGTTGAGGAAACAATACCAGGTAATGAATTATGGACACGGGAAAATACGGATGAAGGATGTGTCATGTGTGCACACCTGTGACAGATCTGTCATGCAGAAGGATATGTCATGTGCAGCTGACGAGCGCACACCTGAGATACAACTGTCATACACATGATATAGTTTCAAATGACATTGTCATTCAAAGTAACACAATGGCTTTGAAATAAATAAACCTTCCAAGTATTCCCCAAACAAAATCAACAAGATTCACACCTCGGTTTGGTCCGATTCTTCACCGGTGGAGATTTCATTCGAGTCCCCCTGGTCGTCTGACTCTGAATTCTGTCGCACAATCGAATGAATAGGACCGGAGGCTGACTTGGGAAATGGTGTTTCTGCGAGGTTTTCATAATTCAAACTTTCGTACGAATCGCTTGCAATGAACATAACATTCCCACTGGTCCCAGGTGCTTCGGACTCCGGAAATTCCCCCTGATCCGACTCAGAAGTACTTTGCTGTTCCGCCTCTTTAGAGTCGGCCATCTTGTATAACACTTTACGTGCTCTTCAGTAGCTGAGAGTTATTTGCTGCTGCCACCGGTTGGATTGCCTCCCCTTACTCAGGTACGAATCTTGTTAATGGTGAAGAGTATTTTCTTATGCAGCTTCAGCAATACTTCTGCTTTATCGCCGCGGGTCAACCATCAACATGACGCAAAACTTGCCTCTTTCACTTTCACAAAACTTTGCTTTAGGAAGTAAATATATCGATCAGTAGATTTATTTTCTTATGTTAGGGTGTCTATAGAAGACAATGGCGCCCTGTGAATCCAAATATTCCTTAGTTAAAAAGCTATTTTACTCTTATAGTAAAGAGTGCATGTCGCACCTTGCTTTTGTTTGCCACCATGCAATGACGTCAAAACATAATTTTACTTTCAATTCTCACAACCAATAGCCATTCAGTATTTTGAATGAACAATGATTGAATAAGCATGTTTCGAAGTTGATTCTAGCTAATTCTTCAGTTGAACTGCATACATGTACTTCAAGAACATAACTGTCAATGCTGACAAGATATTAATCAATAAACAGTTATCGACCTGAGAATCTACAGGAACGGTATTCAACTCTCTAGGCTCTGATCGTAAGCACAGATTATGGTGTCTTGTCTGCACACATTCTTCTCTTGTTTATTGTGGCCGCCGTCATTTTGAAGCAACTTGTGACAGTCTACAGATATTGATTTCTAGATCCAGCGCTTAACGCTAATGATGAAATTACGACTGTATTAGCGAATGAGTGAGTGTGGTTTTGTGATGGTGTGTGTGTGTGTGTGTGTGTGTGTGTGTGTGTTAAACCCGGAAGTCCCGTGTGGCGAGGTAACGCTTTAACCACAAGGGTATCCACACAACCGCCCTTGTATGTATAAATATCAGGTATATCCCTGTTTCTCAATCCATTTCAGAGTCTTCATGGAAGTACCTAATTGTACTCTTTCCAGCCTTGCAGGCTTATTCCGAACAATTCTACCATGAAATAGATAAAAAGTTGCTAACTGTTATACACGTCCAGTCTGAACTCGCTTACTACTCATATTTAGATAATAAATGATATATGTACCTGCACATCGTTTTAATTGTGTGTACTGCCTCGAACAAGATATCTTCCCATTTCCCCTAGACCCGGTCCTTAATATAAGCCTGTTGTTATTAGAGGAAATAGGGTATATGGCTCAGAAAGGAAATATAGGTTAAATGCGTGGGTGCCTAAATGGTACAACAACCAGGCTATCTTAGTAGGTGTAAATCCTATTTTCTATATATCGTGGAATGAGGAAGACCACCCGTGTGTATTCCGGGCTCGGATAATTGATCCCTGGTCGTAATGCCCCCATTTCACTATACGACCACGAATATCCCGAATCACCCCGAATAGGAAATTTTTCATGTTCGTAGATAAATCTCAATCATTTCTTGAAGTTCTTAAATCATGAATCTTATTTGATTCCCATACATTCGTAGAGTTCGCGGGAGTTCCTAGAATCGTCGAGAAAGTTTTTGTTTGTCAATTCGGGTTGCAATTTCGTGGCTGTATCGTAATCCATTCGTAATTAATTCTTATGTTCCGTAATAGCTTCGTAATCGATTCTTTTGCATTCTTGGCTATTCTTAGCAATTCGTGGCTCCCAAAATTTCTTGTCCTCAACCCGAAAACATCCCGAAACATCCACGAATGTCTCGAGTCAACTACGAATCATGTAAGAATTAAGTAAGAACAACACGATTCCCCAAGTAACGGTGGAAATGATGGGTTGGCCAGCCTTTCGGGACCCAAGAACATGCCGAAGTGTCAGAAAAAGTACCGATTTTCGCAAACTACTCGTAAATATGTCGTATTAGTCGTATTTTATTCGTTGAGATCGTCCTGCATTCGACATATTCGTAACTTGGTTGTAGGTGATTCTTACAATCCGTGTATGATCCGTACATAAATCTTGTAATTCGTACGTTTCTTAACTCATTCCTGGCATTCTTCATTTTTTTCAACACGATTAGCCACGAGTTTTAGTAACTCCGTCGTAACTGCTTCGTTTGCATTATTGGCCGAATCATCTCGAATTTCGAAAGTTTCCGATTCGGGGTGATTTGGGATATTCGTGGTCGTAGTGAAAGGGGGGCATAAGAGGCGGGCAATGATGCGGGTGGTGAGCCTCGGTCGGACTGACTGTACCCCTACGGCGTGGATCGTTAATCATAATGCCAATCACCGGAGTGCCCCGTGAAGATCCCGGTTAGAATATGTCTTCAGCAACCCATGCTTGTCGAAAGAGGAGACTAACGGGATCGGGTGGTCAGACTCGCTGACATGGTTGATGCATGTCGTATCCCAATTGCGTGGATCGATGCTCATGATATCAATCACAGGATTGTCTGGCCCAGACATCGTTATTTATAGACCAACGTCATATAGCTGGAATATTGCTGAGTGTGGCGTTAAACAACAAACAAACAAACAATCAATGGAGTGTCCTGCAACACTCGATTATTTACAGGCCGTGGTAATATGGCTGGAATATTGCTGATTTGTTAAACAACAAACATCAAACAGATGAATAACACCGCTAACATCAAACGGATGAATAACACCGCCGTGACCAAGCAGTATTTCAAGTGCAGGATTTCCTATACTAACATCCGGGTTCAGATTGTTGTATAATATTCAACCATGTGTCCAGTTTATTAGCAGTGTGTGATATGAGTCATTATTTCGTATTTAGTGATAAAACTGTTTATTTCCATTTTCACTCCAGTGAAATAAGAAATAATTTAAACCGAAACTTTTTTAGCCAGTCTCAGTGACATGTACAACACACAAAAATATGAACTTTGTACCGTCACTCGATAAGACTTCTTTTAAAACAAATATCTAGCTCCTGTTTTACCCCCCAAAAGGTAATGCTAAATAAAGAAAGGACAGCTTTCCGAGCATCGACGATTCACTTTAAATCCTGCGCGTTAGTCATAATTATTGTCGATAAAAAAACAACTATATATTAAATTTCCCAGAAACAGACATTGTCACCCATGCTGTACGACCTGTTCTCTCTTTAAGGTTCACTTTACTACCAAACATGTCAACAGTATGAAATACGATTATAAAATCACAGATAAGATATGAACTACATAAACCATGATTTTATTATAAAGTATACAACCATTACAGGTACATTATAAACACAACGTACATTAGATATACAGATAATATGCCACATAAAAGAGGTCCAATTAAACATTTAAAATCAGGGGAAAAAAGAGTTTTCCAAAATATTAACAGTGCAAGCGTAAGAACTGTATTCATTTCTACTGCATCTTCTGGCTTCCTGTTTCGCTGGGCCTGATGCTTTTATTTTGTTCCGTTTTCCTTTTGTTCTTTTTTTTCAGTTAATGTTCTTGATGTACTTGTATCACCCGCTGTTCTCTACATCATACCGACCATCATCAACTGGCTCCACTCAGTCTATTTCTTGGCTGGCTTCTTCCTCCTCGCCACCCGCTCTTCCTCCAATCTTTCAAGTTTCTGCTCTCTCATCTGGAGCTGATGTTCCGCCTTCATTTTCTTGATGAATTGGCGACGTTTCTTCTCGTCCTTGACAGCTTTGTGCTTTATCTCTCTGTCCAGTTGTTTCCTCTGGACTTTCTCCACGAACCTGTATAAAAAAGACACGCAATATGAAATTAGTTCAGTATGAAATCAATACAAAGGCATGTTTAGTAATTAAAACGGTTTAAGTGTTTGGACTCTTCTTCCTAAAGATTTTACCTGTCAAGTCGGAACAGATCAGCCTTCTGTCTCCTCCTCTCAGCTGTGTAGAAGCATCGCACAGGGATTTGCTCCAGACGTCGGGGAGCTTTGCCACGGGGAACAACCTCCTCCACGACAGGGACAGAGAAGGCCACTCCTCCGCTGGATTGACGGTCGGGGACCAAGCCCTCATCTCGAAGCTGTTGAAGAATCTGCGCCTCTGACAGGCGGGGTGTGGGCGGTGTCACCTGACACTTGGCGTAGTACAGCTCGTGAGGACAGTTGATCTTGCCCGTCAGAGCCTCCTCGGGAGATGTCTGCTTGAAAGGCTTAACCTTGGTCTGTTTGCATCCCATTTTAGACAGAGATCTTTGGCATCATTGAAACACACGACCAGTCTCCACGAATATGGCGAGACAATGACGTGACGACACAATTACGTGACGTCATAATGTAGTGACGTGTTGACTCGCCCATTTCCATTCGTGACCAAGTCGTGTTATTCCGGGACAATCCGAATAGCGGTTACGGAAAGTGGCGAGTGGTGACGAATGGCCCATTTCCACTCCGAAAACGACCGGCCATTTCCGTTGAAAATAGGCTACGGAAATGGTTGGAAAGGGGCGAATGGGCCGGAAGTCGGACGGCCAATTCAATATCAGGGAATACTGTTCGTGGAGCCTCTTCAGGAAATGTTTTTGTTTTTTGTTTTTTAATTCAAATGATTTATCTGTGGCCCGATGCATCGAAAAAGTATAAAAGAGACCTTACAAATTTGACTTAAAGCAAAAGTATAGCTATATCTTCCGCAAATTACTACTTTGTCATTGTAATATTACTTTATGTTTAAGAATCCGTTATGCATGGAATGCGTACTTTGATCTGTTAGATACTGGTATTAATATAAGGAGGGCTTCCAATGTCCCTGCTGTGTCGTATCCCCAGAAGTAGATGTAACGGATGGTGTCGACCTTGGTGTTACAGAGATCCACATGGATTGGAAGATGCCCCAAGACGAAACTCTTGCAGGAGATAAGTTACATAACAGCTATACTTTGATTATTAGTCTTGACTAAGGAGTGGCGACCCACAGTTGCACAGTACCTGTGAAGTTAAAGGAGATTTTGTTTTTTATAACGCCGCACTCAGGAATATTCCAGCTTAATGGTAACCAGTAATTCACTGGGAAGTCATGTCATGGAGTTGAGGTTAGCAGTGAATCGACGATTCACTTTAAATCCTGCCTGTTAGTCACAGTTATTGCCAAACATGCTCTACCACTGACAGTATATAATAATTCCGAGTCCACTGTATGCCCAGTTTGTTGCAATGGTATTCTTGGTGGGGGAAAATATACATTGTTCATCCCTTATCACATCCGTTTTCACTGGGTCCTGATGGTGAGTTTGTGACTTTGAGAGAGATCAGGTGTTCTTTTATAACTGCTACTTTTCTCTTCAGGTTTTGTTAGAGGGATTAGAAGTTGTCTCCCTTCGCCTTGACACTGTCGGTCAACATGTACTCACGCTGAGGTCATAGCACCAGAGACCGTATAATTGGTCTCTGATAGCAGCTCTATCTATAAAACAGGAAAATCGCGATGCAGAGAATCAAGATGTAGATGCAAAAGGCATCGGTGTAATTATGACGTTAAAATGTTTTTGAACCACATAAAATCGAACAATCCCTTATTTTAACGTTATGTTGTGCTATTCAGTATAGGTTAACCACAATGGACCCTAAAGAGGCTGTTTTGGTAGAAAATGAATCGGTTAAAGCCTCGCAAAAAAGTACAAAATACGCATCTCTAGGATCCGCCACTGTTGCTTATTTATAGGGTAAACAAATTTGATGCAAGACAACGCCTGTCTCGAACAAACGATGCTCAAAGGACCATTCGCAATTGATACAAGCACGGCGCTTTTTCGAGGATATATGGTGAGTCCCAAACTCTGCCTTGAAAAGTCAAAGGCCAAAACAAAAATCACACATAAAAACCTTTAAAAATCTGCAGTTTGCTAACGCTCTCTTTGTGGCATCAGTCACAGTCATGTCAACGCTGAAGAGATTTACAGAGAGAATGTGAAACAAATGTTAAAGTCTCGCACATCACATCATCTACATGACAACAAAACATATTCACGTCCAGCATACGGACATACTACGGTACACCTTACTAACAAAATGTCAACATTATGAAATATAACAATAAAATAACAGATGAGATATGAACTGCATAAACCATGATTTTATTATAAACTTAAAGTATACAACCATTACAAGTATATATAACGTATCTGCACAGCGTTCATCTGTGATTGCCCAACTTCATAAGATATGCACATAATATGTTACATAAAAGAGGTCCTATAAAACATTTTTCAATTAGGAAATAAAAATGACTTTTGAAAATATGAAAACTGCAAGCGTGTGAACTGTATTCATTTCTACTGCATCTTCTGGCTTCCTGTTTCGCTGGGCCTGATACTTTTATTTTGTTCCGTTTTCCTGTTGTTCTTTTTTTCAGTTAATGTTCTTGATACACTTGCATCACCCGCTGTTCTCTACATCCTAACAACCATCATCAACTCGCTCCACTCAGTCTATTTCTTGGCTGGCTTCTTCCTCCTCGCCGTCCGCTCTTCCTCCAACCTCTCTAGTTTCTTCTCCCTCATCTGGAGCTGATGTTCCGCCTTCATTTTCTTGATGAATTGGCGACGTTTCTTCTCGTCCTTGACAGCTTTGTGCTTTATCTCTCTGTCCAGTTGTTTCCTCTGGACTTTCTCCACGAACCTGTATAAAAAAAGACACGCAATATGAAATTAGTTCAGTATGAAATCAATACAAAGGCATGTTTAGTAATTAAAACGGTTTAAGTGTTTGGACTCTTCTTCCTAAAGATTTTACCTGTCAAGTCGGAACAGATCAGCCTTCTGTCTCCTCCTCTCAGCTGTGTAGAAGCATCGCACAGGGATTTGCTCCAGACGTCGGGGAGCTTTGCCACGGGGAACAACCTCCTCCACGACAGGGACAGAGAAGGCCACTCCTCCGCTGGATTGACGGTCGGGGACCAAGCCCTCATCTCGAAGCTGTTGAAGAATCTGCGCCCCTGACAGGCGGGGTGTGGGCGGTGTCACCTGACACTTGGCGTAGTACAGCTCGTGAGGACAGTTGATCTTGCCCGTCAGAGCCTCCTCGGGAGATGTCTGCTTGAAAGGCTTAACCTTGGTCTGTTTGCATCCCATTTTAGACAGAGATCTTTGGCATCATTGAAACACACGACCAGTCTCCACGAATATGGCGAGACAATGACGTGACGTCATAATGTAGTGACGTCATTGACTCGCCCATTTCAACGTTACCGAAAACGGCGAGGTTGGCCGGAAGGCCTATTCCATTGCAGTGAATCCTAATCGTGACAGCCTCCTCAGGAAATATTTTTGGTGTTTTATTTTATAGGTTTATCCATGGCCCGATGCAACCCTTTTCAGATAAAGATTCATAAATTGAAAATGTATTTATTTTATGTAATGTAAATACAAAAATGTAGCGCCAGGATCAATATTGTTCAGATTAGTGGAATTTGAACGTATTAGATAAATTTCTTCAAAGTATTGAAATTGCACATGTTATTGCAGCACAAAATGTCTCGATGCAATGCGATGAAATCATTATATAGCTAGGTAGTCCAGCAATGTATGCTTTTCTTTTTTTTATGTTTAAGCAATAAATCCATTGTACCAAACAGAGTGAGAATGAAAATACTATAATACCTTCATTAAAAGGATTTTTGAAATCTCCAAAAACGGTTGTGATGCACTTTTTACTTAAGTTACTTGTAAAAATTTGAAGAACTATGGAGATGTTATGGAGATGGCAACTACTTATTGGTCAGTTAAAAATCACAATTTGAACCAAACAAAACGAATGAGGTTACTTTGTAATGCAATGCCATCACATAACAATAGGTAACGTCAGACCTCGACAGGACACAAGTCTTTTAGAATTCAGAATAGCGTTCACGCATATGGCAAGTGTTTTCCTGGCATCTGATTGCCTGGTGTACAGGCAATTTTCTTTGTGTTACAGTTTCTATAATTCGGGGGGAAATGACATCACGTCTACTAACGGACTCAAAATGGAATGGGCGGAGCATTGTGTAAATCCACCACGTAGTATGCACTATGGGTTTTACATTTATACCTCCATAAACATAAATTAAATGTTAAAGTTCATTCTTAACATCATATGTAGCTCCAAACAAATTGTTTAATTCCAGGTAAATATTCCTGCACTTATATTATCGCTTGTTTCAATGGTTTCTACAAATCACCGCTTGGCAAGAAGTCTTCAGAGCCGAGCCTTCATTATCCACATCCAATATTTCCAACCGAACATCCATTCAATAATAAGTGTCTTATCTCCATTCTAAATGCATTTTCACCAGCTAGTTGGGAATAATTTGACTACAATCGGTTCCGTCGTTAAATGACCTCTGCTTCCTCTCATTGATTCTGGAATTAACGCGCATCAAAAACTCGTGCAACGGAAGTGATCCCCGATTGGTTAAACTCTTAATCGTGACACCACGTGACAATGATGATGAATTTGCGTGAAACAAACAACGCATCAAACCTGATTTGACAGTTTATCCATCTGAACACGATCGGCTATTTCCGGTGAAAAAAAGCCTCTGAAGTGACTCGTAGCTATTGTAAGCCGGAAGACCGTCACGTGATGTAAACCTCCTCTGGCTTGCAGACGACAGTAATGAATAGCTTGACAGAAGGGCTGGGACGGGTACCTCGGGTACTCGGGTCGAATGGGTACTGAGTAGGACCCGGGTACATGTATCCACAGAACAACCCGGACCCGTGGTTAGTCACGTGATATATTGTTTATTGACAAATATTATCTACAACTCTATGCTTACACTACAAGTCACTAATGTTCCCATTTCATTCTGACTATGCACCCATTCCTTCTGACTTTTCTATGTTTGAATAAAGATAGAACTTCATGCAGTAAACGTAAACTTCAGTGTTTGCATGATCAGATCGTTTTATAGTATTATACGTGTATCTAAATACATTTTGCAAGACCAGACCTTTCCAAATCGGACATTTTGTACCTATCTCATGAGACCTACAGCAGGTACCCGGGTAGGGTCGGGTAATAGTGGGGTGGGTACCCGGGTAGTAGATCTGGACTCGTCCCAGCCCTACAGTTAACAGAGCTAGGAAACTGCATCTTATGTGGCAAAAGCGGCCCGTTTGCATAAGTTATGTGACTCATCTTACTTTAGCGATAGTTTTGTTTAGTTATTTACGCTGATCAGTATACCATGTCCGGTCGGGTCCGGCCCCTGAGCATATATTTATTTATCAACTATATTTGGAACTATATTTTCAAAACGTTGTTGTGAACGAGGATATATGGAATATATTTAGTATCAATTCTTCTAAACAAGCAGCTAAGTATACATAAGACTAACGGAAATTAAACACAGATGAAACGTGTTTAGGCGGAAGCCTGTTAACTGTTGGGGCAGAAGTTGCCCCATTTCCTACGCTCACAGCTGAGCCTTCCTCACGACTTTGGAAAGTGACGGAAAGGGTCACGGTGGGACGAAAGAGTTGTGTATGGATGCCTTAAACGACGAAGCGGAGTTGGAGGTGCATGGGCAAGTAGGTGTCGAGCCCTTTAACGACAATTTCGCAGAATTCCCGGGTTCGATTCTGGACATGGGTACAATGTGTGATACCCGTTTTTAGTATCTCCCGCCATTTTATACCATGAAATATGTTTAAAGTGTCGGATACTAGATCGTCGGATACTATGTTTTCGGACGTAATACGATTCGTCAAGCGATTACTCGCGCTATATCGGGGGATGTAGCATCACACAAACATTGCAAATACTCAGGTGATGGCTTGTTTTTAAGAGAAAGTTGTCTTTTAAAAGTGAATGATATATTTCACATCTGTGATGAAACCAGTTGATGTCAAAGAGCTCCCT